AGTTTCCATATCCGGTTTGTTTGAACTGAGATGGAGTTCCTCAAGATTAGGCACGTTTGAGGTGTGCTTGACTGGTATTTTAATCAAGGTGAGGGTAGTTTAATGAATTTATAAAACGTAGTTGAGTTTCACTGGGCACCAGCCAACATTGAGCACAATATTCAGATGAACCCATAATTCCCATTTTCAAGCACACCAGGAGGAACGCGTGGCCCCGCAGAGCAGCATTTTTTCAGTGTATCTACAAATGCTCTTTCTTTTTTGCGAAACGGTTTAATGAAGTCCGCACTCTCCAGCGCCTGGCTCTCCGAAAAGAAAACTGGCGAACTGAGAGGATAGCACCTCACCCAATTACTGGACAAAGTCCAGAATATGAAACCTATATTCTGTTTCACTGTACGCAAGAAAGGATATTTTCGTTTCGCGAAGTACGTAGGTTTCACTAACTCACCGCCTAGCGCGGATTCGGTTAGTCGATACAGAATACGACCAGTCAGCTGTAACACCCTTTCGGTGCCTAGCTGCCATGCCACGCGAAGGAAGCACGAGGGCTTGGATACTGCCAGGTTGCCCAAGCCTAGACAGGGGAAGTCGAGAGGCGGAGGTCGGACTCGAACCACAAACCTTCCGGTCAGTAAATTCGCGCTCTAACCACTTGAGCCATCCCGCCCCCCTCAACATAAGAACGCGTGAAAACAGAACTAGCGAGAGAGTGAGAGAAGACACAGTCAAGCGTTCAGTTGATTGTCAAGACCCAGCTGGGTCTTGACTCATCAACTGGCTCGTTCTGACGTGACCACCAGGTGAATTCAACAGTAACGCTTTAACTGCCGTTGACTGTTTACACAGATGGGGAACGCTCATCCAGACGTAAGTTGGCACAGTGCCTTTCAGTACGCGGGTTTGAGTTGCCTTGAAAGGGAAGGATGCGACTCTGCGTACCACTGTGAAGGGTTTGTTGGTATCTACCATGTGACCTGCGTCAAGGAGGTGGGCAACACCGAACGATCCTTGTTGTATCCGCTGATTCGCCCATCTGTTGTATCTGGCTGCCGACCCGCTCCAGTGCCTAATGCCGGAAAAAAGAGTCACAGAAGGGAACACAACTGCTATAGTCCGAACAAGCGAGCACGTGCGAAAGTACAACGGTCTCAAGATGGTTTTTAAAGGGACACTGTCTAACTCAGTCCATTGCTGACGCACGCAGTCTGGCTTTGGTACGAGGCTGCGACGCGCTGCACCTTGCGCGGGCGTTGTCTGACCTTGACCAACGTTGACTCTCGCTGTCTGGATTTGATACAAGGTTGGTTAATCGTATCATTCGACAAGTCTTTTCATCAACTGGACGGAATAGCGATCGTGTCTCCTAAGGGACCAGTCTGTACGATGTCGGAACGCTCAACGCGAATAAACGAAATAAAACCCACTGTGACTTCTGAGGCATACATATAAGCAACAGTGATTATAACAACCGTTCAGCTGTAACACTCTCTTGGTGTGCAGCTGTCATGCCACACGAGGGAAGCACGAGGGCCGCCCAGGCCTAGATAGGAGCAGTTGAGATACACAGGTTGGGTTCGAACCACAGACTGGCTGGTTAGTAAGTTCGCGCCTTAATCCCTGAGCTATATCGGAGTCATAGATACAAACGATAATTTGGTTATATGTAACGCTGCTGTTGATTCTATATTATTTCTGGACAGCTGCGACAAGATGTGTCAGTGAACTTCGCTTCCGTGCGCGGGTGAACAGCAAAGCATACAGGCATTTGCGGGTGAGGAAGAATGGACATGACACAGTGTTTCGTCAAACGAAAGTGAACTGGCCAGTATGTGAATTTTCCCAGCTTTGAACAACCTAAACTGAGTCAGACTTTGGTCCAAGATGACCTACAGCAGAGGATCCGGAGGTCTTTATCTAGAGATATCCAGAAAGAGATGTCAAAACAACTGAATCACGTGACACATTTTTTTCGATCCAACCTGGCCAGCGATCTGATTGGTAAGAATCTTTGAAAGAACACTCCTTACAAGCCGTCCATCAGTCAGACAAAAAGTGAAGCATAGACTACTTCGTCAGACCGCATCGATGTGTCTGTATTGATTTACCGCTTCTTGTGGAGCAAAACAAGTGACGGGGAGAATAATGAAACGTCTGCTAACTAGTTTTCAGAAAGAACGACAACGTACAATGATCAGCACAGTTTTATCCCGTTTGCTAGACATGGAACACCAAGTGGATTATGCAGTGATTCCATCTGTCAAGGTCCTGCCCATCGAGGAAGACGAGAGTAGGGACGATAGTTGGATTCGGAGCATTGCGTCACGAATGTGGTTGCATTAGGAGAACCAGCTTCGAAAGCAACGGGACTAGATTACAGCCAATGGAATAACCGTTTTCGTTGAGACAGATTTCATTGGTTGTTCTTCACTCGTCCTCGACGGATGAGTTGTGTTCTTAGTATCACCCGCTTGTACGCGACAGTGATCAATAGATCAGCCGGTTCGCACGTTCATTGACTTTTTCTGGTTTGGCCAAGCGCACCGGGCTATCAATCGGCTATCCAGACCGAGGTTCACGGTAATAAGAAGGCATTAAGGAGACTGTGGTCCGCAACAGTTTGTTATACTAAAAACTTTACCTCCGAGTATTTCGTGGCTTAGCAGTTGTCACCGATGGCAACAGTCTGTGTTCACGGTTGGAACTTTACAATAGACCTACATTACATTTATCCGGTAGCGAAAGAGCGAGCCAACTCCGGCCTCCGCGTCCGTCGGATGAATGTGCCGAGAGCTGGCTATGGACCACATAAAGGCATGCAATGACTGGTCAGAATCTAATCCATGCCTGGCTCGGTGTATCTCACACGGTCACGACTGTTAGTTGTCTTCCAGACGGTTGCACGATGCTCCATGTGAAGTGGGTTCTATGGTGAAGCCACAATCTATTGTCCGAAGTGGATTTGCTAGACACGGCCGCAGCTGCGATCTGACGCATACAATGTGTCTGACGTATTAGTTGGCCCTCATCTACCAAGGACAGCGTCCACTATATTCTCGAATCAGCATATGGTCTTTATGTGATTGGTTTGTCGTTCACGGGAACAACACACCTTGACGACCTTGTGGTCGCTACGGATACAGCCAAACCGGAGACAAGTGGGAGCATACGCGATACATCAGTCATTCAGTTCGTGACGTCCGACGCTGGTAGCTCTCCCAATTCAGTCCGGCTCGGTGAATCCTAAGGACAGCCTGCAGCGTTGCACCCGCGGTCTGCATCCTTCAATAAGCAGTCCTATAGTCAGGCAGCGCTCCACTGCTATCCACAAAGTCAAGTTGGACGGATCTACAGAACGGACACCACGGCAATTACATGAAGACCAGATACTGATTCACGGATATGGTGAACGCTGTCCGCAACCTTGTGAGTAGTGTATTAGGATACGGACCTTGGACACATAGCACATAACAAAATAGTATAACCTCTGAAGTGCCATCAGTCTGTCGAGTTTTTTTTTCACCTCAGCTAGTAGAGAGAGGCAGTTCGACGGTATTAGCAACCATTCAGCTGTAAGACCCTTTCGATTCCCAGCTACCATGCCACCCGGAGGGAGCACGAAGACTGAGATACTGACAAGTTGTCCAACTCTAGACAGGAGCGGTCGAGATGCAGAGGTTGGGTTATGAGCCTTAACTTTTAGGCTGTCTCGAGCCCTGTTAAACGCGCCACTATTGAGCACTCAATAAACCGCACATATATTCGTTTCGCTTCGTGCGAATTAGGCATGGTGCGAGGCCTTTGCCGCAGAGCACAAACGCCACATGAAATAGTGGGCCTCCGGAAACACAGCAAGGGGACGAAGCAAAGCTGTCTTGAAAAAGGCATATCCATGGGTTTTCCATTCAAAGATGGCCGTACAGCCAGTAGCATAACTACGAGTAAGTCGGCTTGGAAAAGCCCCTGGGGTCACGTCAATCGCTAGGAAGACCGCACGCAGAACAGTTGTCCGAGTTCGCTCAAATTATTCGCTCCCTATGTTACTGGTGAAAGGAAGAAGGTCTTCGCTGCGGAGTTGTTTATTAGAGAAACACCAACTGAACAGTTACACACTATTGGACAGCAAAACTCTCATATGCATCCTGTTTTCAAAACTGAATATCCATCTTCTTCTTGAACGCGTCTTCCTGAACTTTCCTGGATGTTGATTGACTGTTACTCAAATGCAAGCAAATGCTACCAAGCGACTCCACAAATTTCGTAATAGATCTCACTTTTCGAGGGACGCGAAGCGGATCTACGAGAAAACATACTACTCACATGCCTCATCAGTAGTATCCCCGGTTGCACTGGTAGCTGACAACTTTATTGGTAAAACGGAGCACCTTCGTAAAATGCCTATCACACCGACTGAGGGTTTGTCGGTCGATTGGCATCTCATTGAAACGGACTATCTTCGTGATCTGAATTGGCCATCCTCGGTCTTGTTGCGCAGTTCGAAACCGAAGTTGCCAACATTTGATGAGCCTGTGCTGATCAAACCTAGACGACCAGCCTTGCTCGAACAAAAAGTATTGATTAAAAACCTGTATCTAACACGGAATCGATCTCACCTCTCTCCGGCATAAAAAATGCATCTCCATTCCACCTCTCCAAAGTTTGTTACCATACCCATGTCTGCTAAGCGTTCCATGATTTTGTTCCCTCAACTGGTGAATAGAACTGGACTGTACGATGAAACGGCCCAGTTCAATCCCCGCCCCAAACTGACTTGAGCATTTCGACGGAGAGACAAACGATGGACAGGCGAACAGCCTCGGGTTTGTACGAACCTAGACGGCAGCACTGTTGTTGACACTAAAGTTAAGACGAAAGAACGAGGACAAACTGGGCCGGCTGTCAGTCAAACAAGGACAGTCGACGAATGGGGGGGGGCGATTTCATCCATTCGCTCTGACGTTTTCACTTCCGAGACGACTGGCAGAGAGAGGGCAGCAGATTGACGCGTCTGTAAAACGTTTATTCTATCTTCTGTGGTGACAAAATAAATTTTCTTCGTAATTACAATTAGAAAAAAACAAACAACTGAAAATCAGACAGTTCACTCCACTGATCGCGGTTGATTCGACTGGGACGTTTCACAGTTTCCGACAGAGTGCCATCGGATGGGAAACCCCTCGAAGTATATCTAAAACACGAATCAAGAGGAAAACGAAAGATCGGCTGCCCTGTACAGAGCATTTGTGTGTGTGTTCGTGTGTGCGCGCGCACACACGAACACACACACAGAGACCGGGAATGGAATGATTCGTGGGGACGGGGACATGCTACAGAAATATATGATCAAGACCCAAAAACAGTGAGATACTACTTGTCTGACTACAAAACTGGCTAGTGACTGCAGAGTTGTGTGTGTGTGTGTGCGTGTGGAGCGCAAGTTACAAACTTGCAAAAAAAACCGTCTCAAACAAGAAGAATCAAGAGCAGATAGAAAGAGAACATGAAGACGGTGGGGTGAGTTGTAGGCCAGAAACAAAGGCACTGAAACGAAGTCTGGGAAAGCGTAGAAAAAGGGGAAGGACAAAAGACAAAATGAGAATATCAAATTCTGAACGCGCACGTGGTTCGACAAGACAACATGGGATTGATGTTAACACAGTCATGTGCCCAAACGAGTTACAGACGTAATTTGCCTTGTCTGATGTTCTCATAGGTCTCTTCATCCAGCCGGCGATAAGACTTGGATTTTTGATCGAGCCAAAACAGATGATCTTTCGAACCAGCCGGATTGAATCCGGCCTTCACCAAGTCCACTTTGCGCAATTTGAAAGTACCTGAATCACGAGAGAAAGGAGTATTTATGGAAAGAAAGCAGCAGGACTAAACGTACTGCCTATGGACAGAGGAGTACCAATCGATACAAGCTATTAGCGGGTGAAATAGGTCACTTTTTCAGTTTCAGTAGTATTCGTGAGTAGTATGCTTGAAACCGTTCCACGATCCCCAGGAAATGCCACGCACAAAGTACCGCACGATCAGCGAAACACACTCATTTGGAAACCGATTTGGTTTTCCGAAAGACTCACCTGGAACTCAGCTGAATCTCTCGTTTATGATGTTTCCAGGCAACTGTACCAGGACGCCTCACGTTTCAGTTGCTACGATATTCGAGCTATCGCGATACATGTATATATTTGCTATGCACTACTCATATGGTTGCTGAAGAAGACTGTCGAAGAATGTACCGCATAATCAGTTGAACGTTGTTGTCATTAAGAGATTGAAATGACATTCAATTAACGTACTCGTCAGCGACAAACTCCCAATGACCAGCAACTTTGCCAGTGAAAAGATGGAAGCTAACAAGTGAGTGCTACCCATTTTGAAACGTCATTGGGTAAAATTTAGTGAGTTTCGTCATTAATCGACGTTGATTTACGATAGCGACGTTTATATTCGTGGTGCACTACTCATAAGGTTGCTGAAAATTCCTCGGCAACCTGAAAACATCACAAACGAGAGATTCAGCTGCGTTCCAGGTGAGTCTCTCGCAAAACCAAATTAGTTTGCAAATGAGTGTGGAATTTGGTTTCAAGTAGAACATGAGGTTGACGGAAACTCGTGGACTGCACCTACCTGATGAACCCCAAGAAGGGCGAAACCAGGTAGTGGGCTGTTGAGGAGTTTTCAGCAACCTTATGAGTGTTACATTACACAGATATGCATGTATCACGATACCTCGAATATCGTAGCGACTGAAACATGAGGCGGCCTGGTGCAGCACACTCAGTTGCTTGAGAAGATCACAAACGAGAGATTCAGCTGGGTTCCAGGTGAGTCTCTCGCAAAACCAAATTAGTTTGCAAATGAGTGTATTTCGTTAAGTCATGACACTTACCTAAGAAGAGAGAATTCAACTGCGAGTCAAGATACCAACAAGGAAGCACGGGGAAACTAGAAAAGACGGTAGTAGGTGCAATTCACTGCACCACATCACCTGAAGTCCTGGTAAGGATTCAAGACATCACCGGCCGCTCTTAGTGATGACAGATCAAAAGCATGCTGCAGAAGATGGTCCATTCACCATCAGAAGTGAACAAAAATCGCTTCTCAGCCGCGTCTTCTTCGTTCTTCACTCGACGGTGCATTTGGGTTCGTATGCTAACCCATGTTGAGTAGGCACCGCTGGAATGAAATCAGCCAGATGTATCAGTGACTCGAACCTGACGTCATGATAATTCACCCATCCATTTGCTTAATCTGCCAATGTACTCTTGATCTGCACTTGTTTTGATCATGAGTACCCGCCACTCCCCTTGCCACGTTGGCTGCCCTGTCCGAAACTGGTGTATCAGCTTGTGTGTGCGAATGTGCGTCCACGCCCTGTGTGCTGAGCCTGCCCTGCCTTGCTTTCTCATGATTTCCGTGTAACCGCACCGCCAATCAGACTCACGAGATTCTCCTCGAAAGGGACGACCCACACCAAACAGCCAACATTCCACTCGCCGTTGTTTGGTGTGCGGAGATTGACACTGCACTCTGCCAGTCAGTGACAGACTTGTGCACTTGTTGACGCCACGAACTTGGACAATTGAGGTTTTCTCAACTTTTGTGCGAATAGTACCGTAGACTTTCGAACCGAACTGTTCCTTTTGACATGTGGAATCGTCAAACCTACGCATGACTCACAGGGAAGCTCAACAGGTATACCACACGACCAGGTTGTAGTAGATTTATGCATGGAAACCAGAGTATCTACCACTGGACAGCGGTGATTTTTACGTGAGCATGGTAGAACGACGTAGCACAACTAATGAAAGCAACTCAGGGAGACACAAGTTACTTATCATGGCTGTTTTTTGTTTGCAAACTGACGAGAGCATCACCCGAATCGGTACAGCGGTTCCAGCTACCGATGTTGTTCACGAATGAATAATGAATAGGGTTGTGAAAACAACTCACCGCAGGCGGCAGAGAAGCATTTTTTCTTGTTTCTGAGGTGAATGAAAATGTTGAGCTACAGATGGAAGGAGATAGCTGGGATGCAGGGAATACCAGTGAGCCATGTTTGTCAGTGGGTAGAACCTTGATGCCCTCATCCAGTAGGATGGCGGTCGCTGGCGCGGCTTACTTTGCTGGTTGATCAGACGGCCGGTGATCTATTCGCTGAGCTGATTGCCAAGGTTTGGCGGAGAAATCAACGGCCATCTAATCGACCATCAGTAAACGCATCAGAGCCATAAATATTTCGACACAGTAGTGATTTTTCGCAACGTGGCCTCTCTTGGACCGTGAACAAGGTTGGGTTTGTGAGACAGACAGCTCACTAACATTCGCAGCAACGACTTATCTACCCATCATCATCCCCAACATGGTTCGACAGTAATTCGATATACTCACCGGACTCAGGTAGTGATTCAGAGGTACAACAGATTGTCAAACACGGAAAGCTTCTCGATGTGTTCTGCTTGCGGAGCTAAGTTTTCTGAGCTGTATGACAGTATGCAATGCCTTGCAACGCTTCAGACTATGCCCTTTCCAAACGAGCCATATTCATAGGATGAATTCGTCTTTGACCAGAAGGCTGGGACTAATGCACCCGTCCATGTGGATAGGTTCTTTTGAAGCTCTGGAGCCTCGTTTGGTCCCAGCCATTGCCAGATTGGTTCTTTTGAAGCACTGGAGCCTCGTTTGGTCCCAGTCACTGCCGCAACAGAAACTTAAAGACTGGAAGTACCAATCGCCTGCAGTTGCGTAGGGACCGATTCAAGGGCGGTTCTATCTTCTGCTCACCCACTGTCCTGGGAACAGTGTTTCCATGACAGACGGAAAACGAGTAGGAAAACGAACTAGATTTAACGAATTCATGCAAAAGCCTCTAGATGACCTATACTAGGCCGATACACATCACAAGAAGACAGCGATAATGAACAGGTGGACATGCAGTTAACCTTGATTAGTGGAGGTTTCGTTCTATAGGCGAGGCCAATCTATGCTGAAAAGCCCGAAGGCACTGTACAGCTACTTCGCTCTTAGTAAGAGTGATAAAGAGTGCGCATCTCAAGAAACTCAAGTAGAGGGTCTTGAACACGTGACCTCCCGTTATTAGTGCGAACAGTTAACTGTTCGGTCACCAGCAGCTTCCCAGTATTACAAATAGGTTTAAATCGGCCGTACAATGTCTGTCCACTTTTCGGCATAGATTAATATCACTCACATGGTAAAATCTCCTTCAAAAATGTCTTCGCACTGCAACTCACTCACTCACTCACTCACTCACTCACTCACTCACTCACTCACTCACTCACTCACTCACTCACTCACTCACTCACTCACTCACTCACTCACTCACTCACTCACTCACTCACTCACTCACTCACTCACTCACTCACTCACTCACTCACTCACTCACTCACTCACTCACTCACTCACTCACTCACTCACTCACTCACTCACTCACTCACTCACTCACTCACTCACTCACTCACTCACTCACTCACTCACTCACTCACTCACTCACTCACTCACTCACTCACTCACTCACTCACTCACTCACTCACTCACTCACTCACTCACTCACTCACTCACTCACTCACTCACTCACTCACTCACTCACTCACTCACTCACTCACTCACTCACTCACTCACTCACTCACTCACTCACTCACTCACTCACTCACTCACTCACTCACTCACTCACTCACTCACTCACTCACTCACTCACTCACTCACTCACTCACTCACTCACTCACTCACTCACTCACTCACTCACTCACTCACTCACTCACTCACTCACTCACTCACTCACTCACTCACTCACTCACTCACTCACTCACTCACTCACTCACTCACTCACTCACTCACTCACTCACTCACTCACTCACTCACTCACTCACTCACTCACTCACTCACTCACTCACTCACTCACTCACTCACTCACTCACTCACTCACTCACTCACTCACTCACTCACTCACTCACTCACTCACTCACTCACTCACTCACTCACTCACTCACTCACTCACTCACTCACTCACTCACTCACTCACTCACTCACTCACTCACTCACTCACTCACTCACTCACTCACTCACTCACTCACTCACTCACTCACTCACTCACTCACTCACTCACTCACTCACTCACTCACTCACTCACTCACTCACTCACTCACTCACTCACTCACTCACTCACTCACTCACTCACTCACTCACTCACTCACTCACTCACTCACTCACTCACTCACTCACTCACTCACTCACTCACTCACTCACTCACTCACTCACTCACTCACTCACTCACTCACTCACTCACTCACTCACTCACTCACTCACTCACTCACTCACTCACTCACTCACTCACTCACTCACTCACTCACTCACTCACTCACTCACTCACTCACTCACTCACTCACTCACTCACTCACTCACTCACTCACTCACTCACTCACTCACTCACTCACTCACTCACTCACTCACTCACTCACTCACTCACTCACTCACTCACTCACTCACTCACTCACTCACTCACTCACTCACTCACTCACTCACTCACTCACTCACTCGCTCGCTCGCTAGATTGGTTTCAACGGAAAACTGAACTGAATCTCCCGTTTACGATATCATTCAACGGAATGTGCTGCACATACGCGGCCTCGTGTTTCAGTTGGGACAACATTCGAGATTGTTCGGGCGGGACACACTACTCGTACTGTTACTGAAGACACCTCAATAGCTTAGGACAGAGTTCACCCTTCTTGGGATTCAGCTGGTAGGAGCATTGCTCGAGTTTTTGTGGGGCTAGGGAAGGTGTGAGATAGAGACTCCTGAAGGGTGTGGGCTCTTTTGGGGAGTGATTTCTTCTTGGAGAGGCCTCACTTAAAACAGAGGTGATAGGACATCGGCTATCAAGAGGTGCGTAACGAAGTCGCAAGTTCCGGTAGGTGAATTTGCAGAGTTGAGCTACAAGTAAACGCGCCATCGCCATCGACCTCTTGCCATTGAGCACTGCTTCGTAATCTCCATTCTAGAAACGTGTCATCCACTTTGATAGTTTCATAGTCGCATATCACGAAAGCTGGTCGGAACAGCTTCCGTTCGACTGACTTTCAGATCACACCTGTAACTGTCATGTACTCAAGCATGATCTGCTTCGCACGTGCCTCGATCATATGACCTGGCACGACGGCCGGTTCTGAAAAAGCCGGATCAATGCACATTTATGTACCACAATGATACAACGAGCAAGGCGCTCTACCCGGCAGACGGTAAATTCACCAAACTGACGAGTTGTGACAAAAGTCGAAAAACCAAGAGATAAACATGAACTGAGAAGCTGCATAGCTTTAAAATGCGTCTACAGTTTTTGAGCACTGCTGTCTGTGTACACAGTACTCACTGTGATATCATCGGCGTCCGATGGTGGGTTCTTCATTTGAAAGGGCTGGAACTGGAGTCATAAGCCGTATGCGCCGCACGTTTTTTAACTTAGCAATCTTGCACAAGGGGCAAGATGGTTCAGTGGCTAGAGAGTGGATGCACTAACCGAAGGGTCTGTGGTTCGAACACGAACTCTGCCTCTCGACTTCCCCTGCCTAGGCTTGGGCAGTATCCTGACAGTATCTCAGCCCTCGTGCTTCCTTCGGGTGGTATGGCAGTAAAGAACCGAGAGAAGTGTTCAGCCGAGCGTTTTATTTCAATCATGCACAATATTTGAAGGATATTGGTCGAAAAAGTTTACCCATTCTGTAGACTACCTTTGACTACAAAATATAAAAAACGAACTGTTCAGCTGTAATATCCTTTCGGTGCCTAGCTGCCATGCCACCCGAATAAAGCACGAAGGCTGGGACAGTGCCAGTTTGCCCAAGCCCAGACTGGGGAAGTCGAGAGGCAGAGGCCGGGTTCAAACCACGGACCTTCCGGTCAGTAAATTCGCGCTCTAACCAATTGAGCCATCTCGCCTTGCAAAATATCAAGCTGCCGACAAAGATGACTCAGCGCAGCAAAGAAACCCCAATCGCGTGGACCCCCCTTCTATACTGATAACTTGTGATCAGCCACCCTTTCGCCCCGCAACACGCGCCATGGGGCAAGGAACACGAACGAAGCAAAACTGATCTCATGGGAAAAACGGCGTTGCTGTTTTTGCCGGTAAACTGAGAACTGACTGTAAAACATAACAGCTAAGCACGCTTGTTGCGCGGAGGAAGTAGCTCTCGTGCGTTCGCCGGGGCCACAATATGTCCAGAGTCAACGCCAGTAATGTGAACGTCTTGCTAAGCGGTTATGGTTTTGTTATATCACTCCATTGGGACAATGTGTTGTTGTACAGCTGAACGCTGTACAGTGTTGGCAAACAGCTCGGAGGCAAAGTGCGTTCTGGGCGTACACGTTTCCAGATCAACAGACAAATGAGGACGGTGCTGTGGGGCGGGTCACAAATATCTACGGTACTTAGCTGGAAGTCCATCAGAAACGGGAACTTTGAAGTGGTTTCCACACGTAGCTCTGACTTCAGAAGGGAAAAATTGACTTGCACAATTAAAGATTTCTCTCTTACTTGGCACCCACCCTTGCCTTCTAACTTTACTTGGTTATTTGGTGGGCAGAAGACCTTTTATAAATGTGCAGCGGTGCTGTAGACAGGAAACACAAGAAGGTAGGCAACTCACTTGTCATTTCGATTGTCTCACAAAGCCTCAAAAACAGTGGGCGGGCGTAGATAGGCAGGTGTTCCGCGGCCTCGGTATACAACTTGGCGACCAATTTTTGCTCATCTTCTGGACTTAGATTCGTCAAGTTGACAACCATCGCGGCCATCCCTGCTTTGCCCTCATTGCCCGGCACTTGGACGCCATAGACGCTGATGGCCTGTTCGGGGAAGGCTCTGTGAAGCACAGATTCTACTTCTGCGGTCGAGACATTCTCTCCTCGCCATCGGAACGTGTCTCCAAGTCGATCACTAAAGTACAGGTAGCCCAGTTCGTCGCAATAGAGAAGGTCACCTATAAGAGGTAGTAAAGAGAGAACAAAATGTTGTTACCAATAAATGACAGTAATACTAACAACAAAAACAGTAAAACGGTGAACAGATATGCGCTGAGGCACTGGGGACCCATCCACTCAATCGGTACTGATCGCCGAGATGGTCTCGGGCTTTCATTCGACTGATGTCACAGAAGTCCTACCATCATCACCCGCAAGCGCCCACCTTCATAGCACACACAATTCCAGTTGAACAAATGAACACGACATACTCATCAAGTTAAATATAACACATTAGAGTAGATGCCGCCAGCATGCCTGCTACTGTCCACGAGGGTCATTTGCCGACCATGTGAGTACACGTCGAGTGAAGCTCCCCAGAAAAAATGGTGGGAGGCAAGGCATGCGCACGGTTTCAGTGGGCTGCGTTGATGAACAATGCACTCTTCACATTGATGTCCAGCTTACTTTCATCTGCAGTTTCATCCATGAACGGGACGCAGTACAGAGAGACATCATACACTTGGGGGATACATTCTGGATTCTCCATGAGCTTGGCACTTAGCCTGCTTATCCGGAAACTGGATATTCCATTGGCTGAAAGAAAGCTAGGTTGTACAGGAGCCCCTTGGACGCTTATCAATACGGAGAGATGGGTCAGTGGTCAGAGCGCGAATTAACTAACCGGAAGGTTCGTGGTTCGAACCCGACCTCTGCCTCTCGACTTTTTCTGTCTAAGCTTCGGTCACCGAGCAGTAAGACACCGAAAGGGTGCTACAGCTGGAAGATTTTTTTACCAAGGCCAATAGCTATTCTGTGCGATCTGACAAGCATTAGCTGATCTGTGTCCTTTTTATATGACTGTGAGCTCCCGACTTGATGCCCAAGTCTACCCAGCTGGGGGGAACGATGGGCCGGTCAGTCAGGTCCACCTCCTAGCCTTAAGGGATTTGAATTGCCCGTTCAGAAATCGTTCAGCTGTAGCCGCCTTTCGGTGCCTAACTGCCATGCCACCCGAAGGTCGCACGAGGGCTGGAATACTGCCAGGTTGCCCAAGCCTAGACAGGGGGGAAGTCGAGTGGCAGAGGTCGGGTTCGAACCACAGACCTTTCGGTCAGTAAATTCGCGCTCTAACCACTTGGACCATCTCGCCCAGAATATACCTGTTGAAGGACCTTCTAGATGTGTTCTCACACTCAGATCTTAAACTAATAGACTAGCGTAGAAATACCACGTGAAAAGACGAAATAAGAATACCCAGTCAACAGGAAAGAAAACTGCGGGAATAGGAGGTTTGGTCACTTTTTCTGAAGTGTTATGGATGGTTAATGGGGAACCGACTGAGGATCTTGGAGACTATTGAGGAGTTCCTCTCTTCGAAGGATACACTCTTGGACGTCTCAGGTCACTCATGGGGTGCAATGTGAAAGTAGCTAGTATGGTCTCGCTTGTGTCCATCGAAATGCTGGTGGGATTGGGAGGCTGGAAGGAGAGGTCAATCCAGACTGCACTAGGGTGGGTTATTGCATCCACATAGCTGGTGAATTAGTCATGTGACTTACCAGAGGCAAACCAGGCATCACCAGGTCGGAATACATTGCGCAACACTTTCTTCTGCGATGCCTCTTGATTCACATAACCATCGTAGAATCTCGCTGGATTTCGATTATTGATGCGACCGATCATCTGTCCCGGTTCGTTTGTATCGCACTCAATGCACAACCCGGTTTCTGCGTCTCGAACTGGTTCCTCCGAAATCGGGTCCATTTTAATCAGGTAAATGGGGTAGAGAAATCGGATTGTTTGAGGAATGAAACCGATTGCCCCCAGCTGGCAGATATGAAGAGAGAGAGCGAATTGGCTTGGAGTGAAGGCACACAGCCCCAGATTGAGAAAACATTCAACTGATGGCTAAGTGGCCAGGGTGGCCAAATCAACAGAAACGAAAGTAGTGAAATCCCGTAATTTAAAAGCTACACCTAACACGCATCAAATCTCTCTTGAGAAAGCAGGGTTTGCAAGCCCAGTTGTCCCACTAGGTTTTGCAGGAAGCCAACTCTTATGAACCGGATGGAAGACCGAGTAGACTGGTTTACGGCCGAGTCAATAATAAATTAAACTGGGTACCATGGACATAAATATCTTCTTTTGTAAGTCTTCAGTTCGGCTGTTCGTTCGTTTTTCGACCCAGTTGGTACGTCATAGCACAGACGTACATCTATCGTCCACAGGGCGTCGGAAAACGGAAGACGAGTTTTCTTTCAGTTTGGAAGGGAGGCAGTAGTGTGAGACTGTTCAGCCCTGGCGACGTGGATTTCACGAAGTTGTTATCTTGCTTTATGGGGAAATGTGTGGCCTGGTCTAAGAATTTAGCCATTGAGGATGCATTCACCAAGGATAAGTGTCTGCGAACAACAGAGTTCCGGCCAGAAGGATAGTCGAGTTGGGGTTGTCCACTTGCATTTGGGTCGGTTTTGATGGCATAAAATCATTGCCTGGAATTTCCGTTCGCGCCCAAGTTGGCCGTCACAACTGAATGACTTGATGTCCAACTGCACGTAGCTTCCGCGTGCAAGGTACGGGTACAGCATTCGGATCGCAAACTTCGACTTGCTGAGCTGCGCTATCGCGGACTACCTCCGGCGCCCTTCTGCATCGTCTCTCTGAGGTTCCGTTCTAGACTACCTGAATTCCCCATTCGGACTACACCAACACTTGACTGTTGAAGCTGAGGCGTCGACTATTAATTTATTAAGAAAAACTGTGATGAACAGACAAAATATAACTGCATTGGTGCCGTGTCTGTTGGCAAACCCGTCCACGGGCTTCCGTATTTATTAAGCTGTGATGAACAGACATAAAATAGAACTGTATTGGTGCCGTGTCTGTTGGCAAACCCGTCCACGGGCTTCCGTATTTTCGTCTGGATGTGGTGTACTGGAGCCTCTATTCGTTTCCATCCTACAAGTGATGTCGGTGTGCGTTTAATAGCCGCCCCACCCTTCTTGGTACCTCTATGCAAGGGATTCGAATCCGGGGCCTTCCGGACAGAAGCAAAACACCATAACGTCCGTTCATTAATCGCTCACAGCATTTTACATCACCATACTTCAATCACGGCGTTAAGAAAATCCCAAGCAGCTTGTGGGGTTCTCTGTCTCTGAGCAGACCACATATTATGTGAGTAGTGAGAAGGTATTAAAATCCCAGACTAGTCGCCACCGTTCAACTCACTTTCGTCTGAGTGATACAAGAGCTAGTTGTGAACAGTGCTCGATGGTTACTGTGCCTCCAGACCATAAACTGTCCCGGTCGAATAAACGAACTAAACAGTCACTTGTTAGACAAACTTGTGATGGCATTGTATGTATCACCACTCAGAAACACTTCGGTAAACAAACCCTAACTGAAACTCAAAAAATGACTCGCGCGTGTCATAAGCCCCAAATCATCGGTGAACGAAACTGCGGCAGCTGCAACCACTGTACGACGAGTACGCGGTTATTACAGCTGACAATGATGATGATGATGATAAGCCCGGACACTCACCTTACGATCACAGTTGATGATACCTGAATTGGACTCAGTCGCCCCGTACAGTTCACCAATCTGCGGGACCTGGAATCGTTTTTGGAATTCAAGCCAAGTCTCTCGGCGCAAACCGTTTCCGAAAGCCAGTCGGACATTGTGCTTCGTGTCGGACGGTTTGGGTGGTTGGGCGACCAGGTAGCGGCAAGTTTCACCAATGTATTGGACGACCTAAGGCGGGAGTAGCACGGATTTAGTCAACGTTGAACGGATAAAGATGCCGCAAATGGGTGCAGGAAGGATGCTGAAAGGAATGGCGCCATTTGTTAACAACAATTCGTCAAAGGTAGACAAGATAACATAGAATTTTCCCAACAGATGATAAATTACAAATGGTTCATGACTCGATTAGCCCTGTACATTCGAATTCATGCTGGGAAAACCTTTTCGCTTGACCTAAAGCTTCAGGATCTGGCCGTGTGACTGTAGTCTCAAAATGGGAGAAAGAAATGGAAAGCAAAAAACAGTCTGGTACAATTCGGTTGACCTCAAAAGCTGCTCGACATCGTTTTCTTGCCCCATAATTCGTCAAGATTCGGTTATTTCGCTGAGATCGATTCTTATTGGGTGACAGCAATGAGTGTCAGAACACGCCGATATAGTTCCGCGGTTGACATTGATCCCCAGAAGTTAACACGAACAGGAAAAGCCCACGTATAGACGATACAATGGCGATCTCATGAGAGAGCGGATGAGGGTTGGTCAGCCAAGCTGTCACCCGATCAACGATAACACAGAAGCATCAGTAGCGGTGTCTTGTGGCATCCTAACACCCGCAGCTTTAGACCGCACACAAATGTGATGTAGCTAGCCAGTGTTTGGCGGTTCCGACCATCACTGCTGGCTTATGTCGACTGCTTGTCTAAGAAGCACTGGCTATTCGAGGCCCAAAGGAAATTCCGGGGCTAAAATAAATTTCACTAACAAACCGTGCACTGAAGTGCAGTGGTACCGACCGCTAGAACGTCGCTCACCGAAGAAACGGAGAATAAGGGAAGGGGAGCCACGTGATGGAGGTGGTGGCCCGATCAGTTCATTGACATCGAATGGCTCTGTGTCCAATAGGGTAGGGATTAGGAGTTACGCAGTGTAGGCAATAGCTTTCATGTAAGCCATAAGCTGCCAGCCATATATTTCACGACCACCAACCACCGGTTCGGCTCGTCACTGCATTTGCATCAGCATCACTGATCTAACGTTCCCACTAGACTCGCAGAGCTTTGGAGGCACTGACGGTAGAGAGACAGGGCCTTCAAGTGTCTTCCACATGCAGCGGCCACGTCCCTGGTCTGTAAAATAAGATGGATCCGCTCGCAGCAGTGTGCACCATACCTTTGACAGTAAAGCTGATATTACTTTGGTGCTACAAGCGTCGCGAGTTTGCCCTGAGCTCCCCGATTCCGCAATTGATTTCGTCCTTCAACAATTTGCAGGAACTTATGAAGCTGTTCAAGTAGGCGGAGTAAACTACCAAATTCATCGGTGCACCAGCAAGCGTGCAGTTTGAGTTGGATCCCACTCAACCTCACCGTAACAACTGACACTTTAAAGATGCGAATTCAACCCCGAACTGTGAAGCAAAATTATTTAGGCTAGTTGATACTTTTAAAGTGTCTGATCCAAGGGCATACTCAATATCTGTCAGCGACCGCCCAAGGAGCACTTTGATTCCCGAGGTGATAGAGGCAGGCGAAGAGGATTCAAGCGGCACATCGATTACGGAGTTAAAGGGAGACAGAGAACACCTCTGCCGGACAACACTTGCTTTGGTGGACTCAAAATATACCTGCCGTAGACACAGACGTGTACGGAAGGAGGCGTACAGAGACTCCTCATCGTCAGACGCCGCCACAGTTTCTGACGACCAACGAGATCGAGAAAGACTATCGTTGTTAGTCGTCAGGAAGAGTTCCAACGCTCGCCGCAAGGATATTACGGCAAAACCCAGCGTGAATCTGACTCTCCCGATAATGAAACACATCGGATTCTATGATTAACAAAATGTTGGAAGGCGAAATATGGTCCGATGAGGAGCTATCATCTGTTGTAAAACGTGAACAGAACTCATCTGTATAACGTTTGAGAAATTTACTACTCCCAGGTATTTTCCTGGACATCGTCTGACTAATTGACATCAATGATCGAATACACCCAAACAGCCTAGTAATCTACAAACCAACTGTGCATTAGCTTCGGGGATAACACGTGGTTTTATCAGTAGTATATGCCGTTACATCAACATCGAAGATACCGCTTTGGTTGTTTCATCGGGATATACTACATATCTGCGGTACGATGGAGATCAATAACTAGATCAGACTAGAACTGTACGTCGCCAGATTGACAGCTGGATGAGTGTAAGAATAGGGATGAGGCAACTGAACGCACACCAAAAGAGAATAAAATAAACTCACCGTACACTTGTACTTGATGCAGTCATCCCAGAACTGGCTAGCTGAAAACTTTGGTCGGATAACCAGGGGGGTTCCACGGATAAGCATTTGTCCGGCCCCAACAATGCCAGCCAACGTGTGATACAATGGAAGCGCAGTGTACAAAATATCTGATTTGTAGATCCCGAAGGAATACCGCACGCCTGCAACCATGAAGATGTAGCGAGGAGTGGTGATAATGGCGGCCTGTGAAAAAAAAGAATGGAGGTGGAACGTGATGAAATCTGAAGAACAAATTCAGAAAGTCGTGGAAAAACGCTGCATATATCACGTAGTGCAAACGGTGAGGGTGTGCAGTGTATCAGGCTGCCTCAGCCGGTGGAATTCACACCCACATTTGCAATCAGAATATGTGCAAGGTATCATCAGTGAACAAAAATTGTGTCAAATGGAACCACTGTACGAATTGCACAGGGTCCACACAGATTTAAAATACCAGGAAATACAATAGCCACAATTTAATGGACCCGATACAGTTGATCGATAAGAAAAGACATTTTCCGCGCCACTATCCTCAGAACACACGACCAAAAATTGGCTGAATAGCATCACGTTAGATCCAGAATACTGAAGTTAACGAATGCACTAAAGTCGCCCCTCTCCAGCGAGGCCGCCGTGAGGAGAACACATTTGGTTGCTCTACCAGGGAAACGCGCGATCCGCTCTTTGCTAGCTGGTTCAAGAGGTCCATGATGGGAAGCAAAGGAAGACATCAAACAACCAGTCCCACCGAGATGGTGAAGACATCTCCACCATACCAAAAATATCAACTAGGTCTGGACGACCGCCATTCCTATCGACAATGAAACTCAGCTATCTTCCGAATTCAGAGACAGTCCGAATGCGTCGGAGGATAACACATAGTATATGAATGCAGAAATCCAACTTTATGTGCGACTCAAAGGTCACACCAGTGTCAGATTTCAGTTACAACGATAATCGAGATATCGAAATATTTTGCTTCTCGTGACACTTGATCAGATGGATTGTCCGGTTTTCGCCGAGTGACATCACGTGAAAGTAGCTGATTGTTTCCTTGAAAAGCTTCATCCATTCCGCTGCACACAAACTTGTGATCGGCAAAGTTAGAAGCTGTAACCTATCGATCCAGTTGGATACGCAACAGTGGGCCAAATGATACACCAACAACCCCCTCAAAATGGAGTTTTCTTGTCGCAAACCATGCCAGTCTTCGGTTACATCAACAATCTTGCCGTCTAGACTGGAAAGATTGACCACCGCTTAAAGGGCATGCCTGTTGGCGGAATTTGCCCCGTCTGGTTTAATCCACTGTTGCACGGGGATTTGGCTTCTTGTTCCACGGCGCCATAACCGCGAAAATGTGAATTTAACGGTAATAAACATAGCAGAGTCAACGAAACGATTCACAGATTATTAGTTCCAAGTGAACACTACTAAGCCCAAACAGTTTTACCATCCATTTATTTGCCCTGATAACGACTTTACCTCTTGAGACAGCTGTAAATGCTGCGAAAGTCTGTCTGGTATTAGCTGATCAGTGCCCTCCTAAGCGTAGCTTTAACAGGCATCTTGCAACTAACTGACTGCAGAGCAAGTCTGCCAACGAACTCTGGCGCACAACTTCGTGTAGATGCGAACAAAAAAGTCTAACCGCTCAGCTGTAACACCCTTTCGGTGCCATGCCAGGCTGGGATACTGCCAGGTTGCTTAAGTCTAGACAAGTGAAGTTAAGAGACAGAGGTCGGGTTTGAGCCACGGATCTTCCGGTCAGTAAATTCACGCGCTAACCCGGCCGAGTGCAACCAAACTCTGGTCGGGAGCCATTAGTGTATCGCTGCACTCACAGGTGACTAGGAAAAGTGTACCGAGGCAGCGACAGCCCGTTATTTTTAATTTCTGACCATATCATTGGTTGGTTTGCGTTCGGGAAATCCAGGATGCTTGGGGAGGCAAGTGAATCTGAACAAGACAACAGATGCAGCGCCGCCCGTTGACTGTGCGTATGACAGGGTTCCAACGGGCTTTAGGATTTGTATCGAATGGGGCGAACAGGGCGGTAATTATGGGTTTTAATCGTTTCTAAGCTACTGGCTTTGATTGACTACTCTGGTTGACATGCTGGTGTGGCAATGAGTTGTTTGATTTCCCAGTCGATTGCACACGGTGCACCGGCTCCTATATGGATATCAGTCTGTCCGGAAGTGTTGCTACAAAAGACTATCGGAACGATGTTGTTAGGACGCAGAGGATGGAGTTCACTGGTCGCTGTAACACAGTTACAACATTTTCTTGACGCAGCACACTACTTATTTAAGTAATAAAAATATAGACGCCCACCTGTAGCACCCTTTCGCTGGATAACTGCCAGGCTATCCAACGGAAGCATGAGGTACTGCCAAGTTGCCCGAACCTAGACAGGAGCGGCCGAGGTCTCGAACCATAGATCTTCAGGTCAGTAAGTTCGCACGTTAACAAATGAGCTATTTTGATCTCACGCTACTTTAAGGGATTGCTGGGAACTCCTCAACAGCCCATCAACGTTTTCGCGCTTCTTGAGGCTCATTCACACCAACCGTATGTTCTATTTGAACCCAAATTGTAGCCAACTGACGAGATACACAGGGAATACCAAGGAAACAATCAAACTGAATTCCAGTGGTCGGGTCTCCGTAGGAATCTACATCAATCAGCCAAACAAATGGCGGCGTTGTAAAATTCTGGAAAGTACCAGACTTTGACAACCAACCAGCCGGATACAAGTAGAAATCAAGGACAAGCAGATCATTGTAAATATGAGATTTCGTGGATTTTTCTACTCGCCTGTGTGTTCCGTTGTTCTTGTTGCGTTCCCTAATTTAATAGGAAACTGGCAGCGAGTTAGCGGTCACATGTGCCAGCGGTGAATCGCGCACCAAAGAAACCACGTCACATCTTTCATTTAATTCCTTTACTTAACTTAGCTTTGCCAATTAGTTTGCAATCGGATAATAACCCGATTGTAAGGCTTGGTGAACAAATCAACAAACCGATCGACAGCAAATTAACACATCTAAGCCACCAATATTCCGACAAATTGCCGACAAGTCTCTTTCTATCGGTCGTTGACGAAGGCGACTTGCATACTGGTCCAGAACGAGCGACGGCAGACCTGAGGATATTCTACCTGGAGACAATTTTTCGCCACACATCCACCCACATTTGTCGCTGCTCTTCGAGTTCCGTGAAATCGTCAGGCGACAAGCTGACAAAGTAATCAGAGGTCTGATGCGCTGCTAGTTACCTCGTACTGTGGAATGAGCAGAGTAGCAATATCGAGTGGTGTTCGAGACTCTGATGTTGATGCTCGAAAAGTGGGGCGAGATGGCCCATGTGGTTAGAGCGCGACTTCACTAACCGTAAGATGCGTGGTTCGAACCCGACCCTTGCCTCTCGACTTCCCCTGTCTAGGCTTGGGCAAGCTGGCAGTATCCCAGCCCTCGTGCAACCTTCGGGTGGCATGGCAGTTAGGCACCGGAAGGGTGCTACAGCCGAATTATTTTTTTTATTCCAAAAGTCAACAGTTACTGGGCACTTTAACAAAACGTCGCGGGAGTACATATTTCCTACTTCCATAAGAGATGATTTCTGTGCCATCATCCGAAAATGGTATGCGAACTTTCAATCCCGGTTAGAGACACAGTAGACTGCCAAAATTCATGTGCCTGGAAGCGAATAGCTGATGACTTGGGGGTGGATACCTCCGTCAAAATGTCGACTGAGGACTCACACGTCACGAAGCGATATGTGATTTCAAAGAAAGTCGTCTCTCGAGATGATGGTTCTCTGGGGTTGCTTGTATACCTTTATTCTTCACATGTGGATACATTCCTGAGGCCACTGACGGCAGGCGGCCTTGTTTATCGTAGTAGACGTCTCGTACGCCTGAGAATCTCACATCATCGTAACGGAGATATATGTGAGATAAGGGTTTTGCAAAGGCGTCGACAAGGCGAAGTTGGATGATGTGGGAGGAGTAAGAATGAGTAGGAGAGAGGTAATTACCATCGTAATGATAAAACCATATTCATTCAGGTGTGTTTCAGAGCCTAGCTTCCATGCCATTCGATGAAAGCAGGAAGGGCCGAGATACTGCCGGATCGCCCAAGCCTGGACAAGAGGTTGGGTCGAACCTGGTTCGAACCACTGGGCTATCTCGAGCTATTGTACACATTTGTGACCTAATTGCTCCTTTTAGCAAAATTCGGAAAAACCTTGGTGCATTGCCATAAAAGAAACGGCCCATGTGTGTGCTGGGTTGGGTTGCAGCTTGAATTTGTGTAAAGAAACCAGCATTGATGTGAGCCGGGTTTGTTGTGAACGTGACTGCATTGTCAAGAAAAAAAGACACATCGGAGTTTGTACATATAAACACACGACTACAACACTTGTTCGTTCAGCGTAGGATACGACACCAGCTGACTAAGTTTGCAATGTGTTGACAGGAAGCATGAGTCAATCAATAGGACTGAAATAAATTCACAAAACGCACAGTAACATCACATCACTATATGCGATGCGGATAGTTTGATACCAGCCTACTACATTCAACGATTGTGGTAGCCCCTACCACAACAGTCACCTGAAGCAAGTACCAGCGGAAACAGAGATAAACCCCATCGCATACTCTTATGTACTCCCCGGGGGGATGGTCCCTCTTCGGAGGGACACAGTTTTTGCTGTTCACGTGGTGTCAGTCAACCAATCAATCAATTTATCAGCCACAAACCGTGTACCATAGGCACAATGGTTCCAGCTGCTACAGTTTCGGTCACCGGAAAGTGGGAGAATGTGGGGCGACCTACAGTCAAGTCTTGGCGGCGATGGCATATTCATTTGGTTCGGGGATTAGGTAGCTACGCGAAGAAAGCGATAGGTTCGATGCACGAGCGCAGCTGACTGCGTGATAGGGCCATTTCCGCCCACGTGGTGGGTCTCAGCTGTACCACCTTCCGGCGCCTAGCTGCCATGCTACCCGAAGGAAGCACGAGGGCTGGGATACTGCCAGGTTGCTCAATCCTAGACAGGGGAAGTCGAGCGGCAGGGGTCGGGTTCGAGCCACGGACCTTCCGGTCAGTAATTTCGCGCTCTAACCACTTCCGCCATCTCGTCCTCCCCCTGGCGTACATAGAATGAGAGGTATAAATGCGGAACTAAGAAGGCAATGGAGCGAAAAGTGAAGTAACCACTGCACTGGTGTACTGGCATGAGCATTGGTAATCCCTATCACTCAAAACCTTTGGTATGACGGTGTGCGTGTGGAACCCAATCATACGCAATCACTCAAAACCTTTGGTATGACTGGTGTGCGTGTGGAACCCAATCATACGCAAATAACAACAATGGCAAATTCCGTGGAACGGTAACCGTTTTGTCCAAGAGCAAGTAGGAAGTGGTAATCACCATGTCCACGTGCGTAGGCAGTTTGGTGTGACAGAAGAATGCCCTTCGTTCTTCAAGGGTGACGTTCTGACGAGGTCGACTTTTGATGAAGTCTCGCATCAGATCCGTTTGGAAATTTTATGCAGGCATATAGAAAAGTACCCCCCGAATAGGAACCACGCTTGGGACGAGATCAACACGGTCACGACGATCAGACAACCTAATAACTTGTATCTAAGTTACTACTCACGGAATCTGTTATCCCTAGGGATTTCAAAATTCTGTTAGAAAAAACGTAAAATTGAATGTCCAACAATGCAAAAACTTCATAGATTCGACATGGCACTTCCAGTCGTTCAGCTGTAGCACCCCCCCGGTGCCTAGCTGCCATGCCACACGAAGGAGGCACGAGGACCTAAATGCTGCCAGGTTGCCCAGGCCTAGACAGGGGAAGTCGAGAGGCAGAGGTCGGGTTCGAACCATAAACCTACCAGTGAGTAAATTCGCGCTCTAACAACTTGGTTCATCTCGCCCCATGGCACTTCCAAGCTCGGTAGTAAACTATCCTCATCATCATCGTCCTCACCGTCACCATCAGAGACCGAAACACTGGTGTTGACACTGGTGCTTCATTGTCGTACAACCACCAAAATCCGAACTGACAGCGGCCAGTATTACTAGTACCTTTGGTTCTGATGTGCTCTTGCTCTCAGGCCGGTACAGTATGACACCTTTCTGTTAACTTCACCTAACCTGCAAAAGGATGAAACGTAGAGGATGGTGTTTACCTATTACATAACAAAGGTTAGTATGCCTCAGTTGACCTTGCGTTGGGTAGGCAGCTGAGGAAGCTCAATCAAAACGCTACGGCCATTTCATCGTATGGTGCCTGATGTGCGAGTCTTGACTGTGCTAGCGCACACTGCGCCTTGAAGAGCATTCACCATTGTTTGTCCTTTCTTTGGTTGTTGGTCCTTAGACGCGTGTTCCCATACCAAAATCTTTACATACTTTGGGATTCACCTCATCAGACTGGCACTGCCCTTGGCATGATCTCGAATGAGACGTTTCTCTCTTTTCTCCCATATTCTCCTGTTACTCTTTCGCATTCATCGCTTGCACTCACTTTTTATGTTTGTGACCGTGCTCTTCAAAAATAAATGATAATAGTAGTAGTAGTAGTATTCAAAAAGAGAGAAGACGCTTTTTGTCTTCTTCCGAAGACGGACACTATTGATCACCCAGTTTGCTTCAGTCACGGTTATTCAAGCGGGCTAGAGGACAAGATGAAGCATTTTATTGCACATTCACAAAACTCGTTCAAAACGTTCAGCTATCCCCTCAGAGTTTTTTCCTAGATAGAGGGGTTGAGCGAATCTGTGATTGTTGCACGGATAGCGCTGAGCACACCCAAGATAGACTGATGACTTGTGCTTGGATTTCTCTTCACTGTATCGTGAAGTTCTTGTATCGGACTGGTCTAACCAACAGCGTGTTGAGACTCGAAATTGTGGAGGAAACGGCAAGCCGCTGCTCAGCTGCTGATGAAAGAGTAAATTTACAATCCAGCGGCGTCTGTGAACTTGTATAATTTTTGCCGACGGCCAGACATAAGCCTGTAACACAAAGAACGTGTGTACGACGCTCACGTACCTGCCGACCTACCATATAAATGCGGAAAATGGTTAGAAGACATCACATGACCGGTCGCTTTCTAGCACATTGTCTGCGAAACACCGATTACGATTGGCTAGAACAGCGTATGGGAAATGAGGTTCGCCACTGGGCGTTTGGAATGAGACGACGGATTTGTCATGCTGGTTAGGTTTTGACCCCAACTACGCTGTTTGCCCGTCCAGTCCTGCTGTTAGCGACATCAGTCGAGATGCAGAAGTCGGGTTCGAACAACGTACCTTCCCAGTCAGCAAATCCGCGCTCTAAACACTGAGCCATCTCGCCCAGGCTGGTCAATGCACACAAGTCTGATGAGGCGGCTCAGTGGTTGAGGCGCAAAATTACTGAACTGAAGGTTCGTGGTTCGAAACAAACTCCGCATGTCGACTACTCTTGTCTAGGCTTGAGTAACCCAGCGGTATTTCAGCCCACGTGCTTCATTCGGGTGGGATGGCAGCTAGGCACCGAAAGGGTGTTACAGCTGAACGTACACAGTATCCTGACTCTGCAGGATAGGGTCGGCCAACTGTCCTTTACAATTTGGACTGCTCAAGTAGTGAAAGGCCAACTACCGATGTCCCACAGTGAGGCGTTTGAATCAAAGGCTTTGGCTGTTGTCTTCAGGTCTAGGCCTCCTGACACTGCATTGGCAATGAAACAACGAAACAAAAGCATGATAGTCAAGCACCAGTGTGTTGAGTGCTGGCCCGTTGCCAACGGGACAAACGGGAGGTGAAAAAAGAAGAGTATGCACCGAACTCGAACAGTACAAACCTCGGGATGACCTACTAACAGTCAATAACTTACCTTTGGCAATCCACTTGTCCCACTGGTATACACATAAATCAGATGTTCCCGACTCTTGTTACAAGGCAACGGAGGCGGTGGCTTGTGGGATGCTTGTGCAATCGCTTGATTCCATCTTGCAGTCGACGTTGTTGTCATCGCTGTGGATGCCTCAGGGGTATTTGCGGCCTCTTCTACATACCATATCATTTCGTTAGGGAACCGATCGGTGCGGTCAATTTCTAAAAATGCCTCTTTCAGATTGTTCCCGACCACGATAGCCTTGGCATCCAGTGCATCCACACAGTGAGCAAGTGAAACGTTTCTGAGGTTGTGATTTAAAAGTCCTGTGGCCACACCAATCTAAAATAAATGTGATGAGGAAAAAAACCAGTTGCAAGACCAGACAACAAGCGAAATGAGACTGCAGAGACCGAGTGAGAACAGCGCTTATTTGCAAATTAACTGGGTGTTGATGAGGGACTATGCTGAATCCTACTCCTGGATCCCTCATTCAGAATATTTTTTCGCTGAATGTGCCTCATTAACACCGCCTTATTCTCCAGATGGAACAAAGAGCTTGAAGATCTCAAACTGTGACTCAATACTGCTAATAAGGTTGGAGGGAGCCCTGGACAC